TGCGATCAATTCTAATGTTAGTCCATACTTTGAGTTAGAACTGAATCAAAATAGAACTTTATTTAGAACTGTAATATAAGTAAAACGTATACTATATGACTATATTTGAAACTAAATAAAGTCAATAATTGAAGATAATGTGAGAACTTGGATCGATACTAACTATATTTAGTGAAACAATTAAAGCTAAACTTGGACCTATAAATGTTGTATTAAAAGCTATAAATTACCACGATTAAAGCTAATGTGAAGCAATATTTAAAGCGGCAATTAATGCTATTGCAAATCCAGGATTGAATCAAAATAATACTTTATTTTGAAGGTTACGCTCGAAAATACAAAGTGCTACGATTAAAGCTTTGAGCAAGCTTAACTAATAATTCATTTATAACCACGGTTAAAGCTAATATGAGATCATTTTAAAGCTGTCTAAAACCATACTAATGCAAAACCATACTTTAAGTTACAATTAAACGAAAAAAGCGACTTATTTAGAACTGTCATTGATGCCAAGCTTTAAGTTACAGTTAAAACTAAGCTTATACTATATTTCAAACTTAATAAAAACAATGATTGAAACTAATGTGAGGACTGCGATTTATATTAAAATCGGACTATATTTAGGGAAACAATTCAAGTTTAACTTGTAAATATAAAAAGCTTAGAATAAAGCTTTAAACTATACTATAAAGCTTTAAACTATACTATACTATAGCAATTGCTATTGAAGCTAATGTGAGACTATATTTTGAGTTGTGTTTAATACTGATACAAGTATATACTTTGAACTACAATTGATTCCAAAAAGAGCTTTATTTAGAGCTGTAAATGAATCAACATTTAAGCTTTATTTTCTAAATGTAAGATCGAACTATAATGAAAAAATTAAAGCTTAACTTGAAAATACCAAGTGCAATTATTAAAGCTAAACTAGCAACATATTAAAAGCTCTGAGTTAAGCTTTACTATTACTACATCCAGAGCCATGATTAAAGGCAATGTGGAGCTATAACTCAAACTGCTTTTCGAGCTAATGTGGGACTCTGAGTAAAGCTTCATTTAAATCTTATATAAGACTTTAGTTTGAGCTTAGATTAATGCTAATGTAGTGCACTAAGTAGAGCTTAGACCGAAACTAATAGATCTAATTAAACTTTAAGTTATTTAAAGAAAACGTGAAACTAGAAATCTTTCTTTTAAAACTATGTTTGCCAGAACTAAATTCATCAGTTTAATTCCTCAAAATTTTCAATAATTTCTTTACTATAGTTACAACCAATTTATTTCTTTAATCTTTGTTAATATTTTGTTTTATTGTAATGCTTGATTTCATATCAATTTTATATGATTTTTTCGGTTCCTTCTTTTTTTCTGGGTAACCATATCATAATTACAATTTTACCCACAAACAAGTAGAGAAAACGAAACGTGTATCTTTATATGTTTCCAACTCATTGAACTTGTACATATTGTGTTATGGAACAGGGACGATCAAAATGATGTTGCTGTCCCAGGAAGATAAAACAGTTATTATTTTTTTAAATTTTTTTTTCGTTTCAACTTTTAATATTTTACCATTATAGAACATTTATTACCTTTTTGGGTTACACCAATATAGCAATTATTAAATTGTATGAATAAAAAAATGTATATTACTGCAAGATAAGGAATATGTATGGCACAGGATAAGGGACTTTAGCATTATATTTCTAGGGGTATTGAGAAGAGTACAAGTTTAAGTCTTTATGGGGCTTCGCAGAAATAATTAACCACAGTCACAGAGTTATTCATAGTTTACTGGCAGGACAGACAGGTTTATGAAGGTATTGGGTTGTCTGCGTTATAGGGATAAAGTTGCTTGCTTAAACTGTTAGTTTAACCACCCACTATATTGACTGGCTCTTGCATTTCCGGCAAATTTTTGTTTGTATTTGTATAGGGACACCATTTTTTTTACTTTTTCCCTCTCTCTATGTGTTTGCACAACCAAGTGGCAGATATGTATATGGTTGCAACTAAAAAACACTTAGTTGCCCAGACAAAATGAATTATATCCTTTAACATTCAACTTTAGCCTGGAGTCTGTCTGTCCGTCTGTCCATCCATCCCTTCGTCCGTCTGTCCGTCTGTTTAAACATACAAACGAGAAATTTATTTGAAGTGCAACTTCACTTCATGTCAGTTGTATTCAACCAAACAACATCAGGAGCATATCAAATAGATATTTTACAAATTTCCCTCTGCCTTTTTTGCATTTCCCCTAAATAGAGTTGGTAGAGTAGCATGTCCTTCTAAGCTAAACTTCTACACATTTAGAGTTTCTTTCTTGTTTTGGAATTTAGCAGTTTTAGTTTAAAATTGTATATATAACTCAAGCTTTCTAGGGAGTAATAAATCTTTGTGGTGGCATAAATGAAATAAATAAACCCTTATAACCTTAAACCAAAAGAAACATAAAAAAAGTACTTTTTTCTCTAAAAATTTAGCAAAACAACTAAAAAAAACAACAATCTGATGTTCATTACTGTTAAAAGATAAGAATAGAATTTGTTTTATATGTTTTAAGAGGGGGGAGGAGATTGAATAGAAAGTTTTGGTTTTCTTTTTACTCCTACAATATATTATTGTGTGCTTGTAGTAGAGTACAAGAAAAAGTACTTTTTCGTTTACGTCAACTTTTAGCATTTTCAACATGTTTAACAATCAAGTTACATGTCATGTTCGTTGCATCCATCGTTTTTTTGGAAATTTACATACAAAGTCAAAAGCAACAATTCTTACAAAGGACAATAGAAAGAAAAATTAGACTTAGATAAGCAAAAAAAAAAAGTACCATGAAAAAAAAAAGGAACCTTAAAAGCGGGTGGAAAAGGCAAACTTTAACAAAAGTAAATGAGTTTTAAAACATTGCACAAAAGTTATTTCAAATAAATAACACAAAACCCTTTTTTTAAACTAAATCATAATTTTGACTTAAGTGCCCCAAAAAAAGTGCCCAGTGTCCCATAAAAAGTACCATCTAAAAAACTTTTAACTTTAAGAAAATCTTTTATTTTAATCTTAAAATAAAGTTAAGCTCTTAAATTTAAATTTAGTAGCTAAGTCAATGTACTAACAAATAAAGACAGGGAATTCCCCTAAAAGTACCAAAAAGTACTTTTCAAAGAAATGCCAAAAAACCTAATTGATGATAAAAAAAATCCCTTATAAAAGTGTCAAAACTAGTAACTATCTGATATGAAATCAATAACTTTGGAAACTTATTCGAAAAAGTACCAAATAGCTTTAGAAAAAGTACCAAAATGCATTTTTAGGAAAAAACAGTAGTAAAGCTTTAGAAAAGTACTTCTTTTTAATATGTTAGAAAAGTACTTTTTTATAAAAAAAAGTGAAATAAGCACCTTTAGAAAAAGTACGGAGAAAGTACTATTTAAGGCAAAAAGTGTTAAAAGTATGATTTTAGGAAAAGTATCAAGAAAGTACTTTTGTAGTACTTTTTTATAAAATAAAAACGTGATATAAGCACCTTTAGAAAAAGTACGGAGAAGGTACTATTTAAGGCAAAAAGTGTTAAAAGTATGATTTTAGGAAAAGTATCAAGAAAGTACTTTTGTAGAAAAAGGTTAAAAACAGAAAAGTTAATTTTTAGTAAAATAGTGAAAAAAAATACTTTTAGAAAAAGTACCCTAAAAGTACTATTTTCAGTACATTTACAAAAAGTGCTATAAAGTCATTTAAGGAAAATGTTGGAAAGTACTTTTTTGAGATTTTTTTTTTCATAAAAGCACCTTTTTTATGAAAATTTTTGAAGAAAATAATATTTACAAAAAGTGTTCAAAAAAGTACTTTAACAAAAATTTTAAAAAGTACTTTTTTTGGGGAAAATATTGAAAAACTACTTTTGGAAGAGAAGTTTTAAAGTAGCGCTAGAAAAGTACAGTAGGACCTTGATTATCCGTAATTCGATTATCCGGCAACATCAATTATCCGGGATGGAAAAAGAAAAATTTTTGTATCGACTTAATTTTATTTTGAATTGACTTAAATTTGCTTGCATCGATTAACCGTGATTACCTCTATTATCCGTGATTATTAGCAAATTTTTTTCTATTATTTTTGAACAAATAAGTGAAAAAGGGGAATTCCCTATTTAGTATACGATGAGTTAGAAGCATACATTTAAACCTGTTTAGTATAATTCAGAAATTTGAGAAGTGCGGTTTGTTAGAGTTTATTTTTACAATGTCATCTTTATCAGTGGAAAAAAGAAAAAGAAAAGTCTTAAATATTGAAGACAAACTTAATGTAATTAATGATCATTTAAAAAACAATGTTAGTGTTAAAATTCTCTCACAAAAATACGGAGTGGGGATACAAACAGTTTATGACATTTTAAAAAATAAGGAAAGACTTTTAAAATTTTGTTCAGAAAGTGATTCTGTAATTGGTTTTCGAAACCGAAAAGCTTTAAAGTCTGCTGAAGAACCAAAAGTTGATTTCGCAGTTTATGAATGGTTCCGACAAGAGCGATTTAAAGGGACTCCAATTTCTGGGCTAATGGTGAAGGAAAAAGCTAAAATATTCCACTCAAAATTAGAAACAAATTCAGAGTGTCAATATTCTAACGGTTGGTTGCAGAATTTTAAAAAGCGACATGGAATACATAAACTTCGTGCTGAAGGAGAAAAATCTTCAGCAGATTATATTGCTGCCACAATGTTCGTGGAAAATTAAATGAATACATATTAACGGAAAAACTTACCAATGAACAAATTTACAACGGAGATGAGACAGGCCTTTTTTGGAAGTGTTTACCTGAAAGCAGTTTGGCTTGCCATAATGAAAATTTCATAGATGGTCATAAGGTTTCAAAAGAGAGAGTAACCACATTACTTTGTGCTAATGCTGCCGGTACACACAAGTGCAAAGTGTTAGTCATTGGGAAAAGTGCTCGTCCAAGAGCATTAAAAAATGTTAAAGATCTTCCCGTTATTTATAAGGCAAATGCAAAAGCTTGGGTAACACAACAAATATTTTTAGAATGGTTTAAGAATAATTTTGTACCAGAAGTGAGAGAGCATTTTAAAAAAATCGGTCTAAAAGATGATAGTAAAATACTTCTGCTATTGGACAATTGCCCAGCACATCCAGACGCAAAGGATTTCAATGCTAAAAATGTTATTGTAAAATATTTTCCACCGAATTGTACGTCTTTGATCCAACCGATGGATCAGGGTGCAATATGGAGCTTTAAATGCCACTACCGAAAAACTATAGTACAAAAACTAGTCACAACAAGCGATAGAGAAGAATTTAAGAAGACATTCAACATCAAAAAAGCACTGTGGTCAATTGATAATGCTTGGAACGCTGTTACTTCTGCAGTTTTAAAAAATGTGTGGAATAACTTGTTCTGCCCCGAAAATGAAGGTGTGTCCGAGGTTTAATAAAATCTATTTGTTTAAAATTTTATTATTTTTTATTACAGACCCGGAATTAATGGAGACACTCCAGTCAAATAACGTAAGTCAAATAACAAATATTACATACGATTTTACTACTGAGGATATAGAAACATGGCTCAGCTGTGATGAAAATGATTCTCCATTTGCTGTTCTATCCGATGAAGAAATTTTACGCATGATAAATTCCTCTGATGAACCTGAGCAAGAAAATAGGTTGGAAGAATCTGATGATGATATAATTGTTTCAAAAATTACTTTAAAAGAAGCAATTAATGCAGCCAGTACATTGCTAGATTTCTTGGAGAGCCCTGGATGTTCTGGAATTACAGAACAAGATAAAATCCAAATTTACCGTATCCAAGAAAATCTTGTAAACGAAAATACAAAATTGAAAAAGAAGAGACAAACAACATTACATGATTATTTTTAGAAATTATATAACATGAAATCCTTATCTACTGTTCACTGTTCTTTGACAAAATTATTTTTTATTTATATTTTTGAAACATTTTTTATTTTATTTTTGAAACATGTACATATGTATATAAAATCCTTGAATTATTTAGTTTTTATACAAATATGTACATATTAATTTATTAATTAATAAAAATATCTATTAAAAACCTATACAAAATTGGAACTCAATTAACCGGGAAAATCGATTATACAGAGTGCTTCCGGTCCCGACCATCACGGAAAATCGAGGTCCCACTGTATAACAAAGTACTTTTCAAGAAAGCACATTTTTCAGAAAAGTACATTTACAAAAAAAAATTTTAAAATCCCTTAAGAAAAGTACTTTTTCGCAAAATTACTCTGCAATAATATGTTCCCTTAAAAAGGCTCAAACATGATTCTTACTGTTAATCAATGTCGACAGATAGTAAAAATTTGATGACTTCTTTAAA